TTTGGTTTCCATGAAGATAGAAAGGTTTAAAGCCACACTATGAAACATTCCAGACAAAATAATAAGGTCTCCATGATGTTACTGCTTTGTCTGGACGACGAAACCTCCACCGGAAAAATTAAACAACGCACATTTAATGCAGCTCTATACTCAAAAGAGAACACCTAACATCTTTATTTCCTTTTTTTATTATTAATTTTTTTGCTATGATGGCTAATGATGTCTTTTGTGTTTATTTTTGTTGGCTAAATTCGACATCCAACCCCCCAACGACATCTGGACATCCCGTTGCGTCTCTGTCCCTGCCCACTGGACTGTCCACATTGTCAGGTGGCCTCGATCGCATTTTTTACACCACTTTTGATTAAAATTAATGGTCCGTCCCCGCTGTTGGCTAGCTTATTTCCAATCCATTTATCAGGTGCGGCGAGTCCTGCCCCAGCGGTCCCCGTGCCCCCCGAACTCTGGCTGTTGGAGCACTGGCCCCGCGACAAAAGGTCATCCTCGGAGCCCGTACAGAGCCCGTATAAAGGAAACGGGATAATGACGGGGGGAATGACTTTTATCTCTCATCGCTCACCGGCCCGGGACACCGAGAGGGGACGGCGGCGCGAGATGGAAGGGGAAGGGAGGGGGGCGCAATTTCACACCTGGACAACCCACCTTGATTTACTGAAAACTAAGACAAAACGATGGACAAACTACTAAACGACGGATATAAGTTTTGCTTTGGGAGAATGAAGATACGTTCAAAGGGAGCACTCTTATGGCTTTAAAGACGACCTACAGCGCTTGTGTGTGCGCTAGAGGTATAATCTATGACACCCGTGGATCATTGTGTTATAATTTAGACATTTTAAATCGTAATATTCATTTAAAAAGGTGCATTGTCTAACTTATCATCTGGTGGAGGGTCTGTCAAACGCTTTTCTCAATGGACCTTTTTCGCAAGGGTCAGAAGTGCCGAGATGTAGGGTAAACGTCACTTACGTTAATGCTTTTCTACGGCAAAATATCTCTGGAAATGTCTCGCGTTTTCTCCACCAGCTTCATAAATCTGCCCCATCACCAAATCTTCAACCAACAAGGTCCACAAAGGAAGAAAATGAAGAATTTATCCACAACTATCAAGGTAAGAAAGACAAAAACTTAAAGGCGAACGACGAGCATTAGTGAACTACTGAGCAAACCTAACGCTAACTATGCCCATGAGTAAAACATAAGTAATAAGTAATTCGTTAATAAGTTACTTGTTAACTTCGACTGATTCTAGAATTAAAGTTAAAAATCGATTTCATGATGTAGATATTTGCATAGACAGAGAGATTTGAGCAGTTCAAATGCTACAGATATTCACAGATTGCATTGCATTTAAACTGCACAAATCTCTCTGTCTTTGCGAATATCGACATCATGAAATCGATTTTTAATTTCAATTCTAGAATCAGTCTGAGTGAACAAGTTACTCATATTTTATTCATGACCCTAACATTAGTTTTGTTCAGTAGTTCACTAATGCGTCGTGGCTGTTCTCCGTTACGTTCTCGTCTTTCTTACCTTGATAGTTAAAGATAAATTGCTCATGGAAGAATGTTTATCCTTTGTTGGATGAAGATTTGGTGATGGGGCAGATTTATGAAGCTGGTGGAAAATACACGAGACATTTCCACAGATATTTTGCCATAGAAAAGCATTAACGTAAGTGAAGTTTACCGAACATCGCGGAGAGTGTTGGGAAGGCGACTTTAAAATGTATTCCCCTACAGATTACAGATTACACACCCCAAAATGTAGTTTGTAACGGAATCCATTAAATTACTTAAAGTGAGTAATGTAATCTGAATACTTTGGATTACTTGATTTGCTGTAGAGAAGCAAAGACGAGGAAATCTTCACATAAGATGTTTTGTCTGATAAAAGAAAATAAAAAGCCCAGACTTTACTGAACCAAATTAAAAATATTATTGATAAAAGAAGAGACACGTCCATGCTGCATGATTTAGCCCTGTTAAATCCTGATTTAGACCTAGTTTAGACCTGGTTTAGACCTGGTTTAGACCTGGTTTAGTCCTGGTTTAGACCTGGTTTTAGACCTGGTTTAGTCCTGGTTTAGACCTGGTTTAGTCCTGGTTTAGTCCTTTAGTCCTGGTTTAGACCTGGTTTAGACCTGGTTTTAGTCCTGGTTTAGTCCTGGTTTAGTCCTGGTTTAGTCCTGGTTTAGTCCTGGTTTAGACCTGGTTTAGTCCTGGTTTGGACCTGGTTTTAGTCCTGGTTTTGTGTCTGGCAATGAGTGGAATTACCAAAAAAAATAAATAAAAAGGGAATAGCCCAAAATGTGAAAACAGGAAAATACCGCCGTGTAATCCATTTATTTCAACAAAGTAACTGTAATCCAATTACCACTCACTGAAACAGTAACTGTAACTGAATACAGTTACTCATAATTTGTACTCTGATTACGTAACTCCAGTACATGTAATCTGTTACTCCCCAACACTGATCGCGGCACTTCCAGTCGTTGTGAAAAAGGTCTATGGGGATGTTGTTGCTTTGTCCGGAATGTTTCATAGTGTGGTATTAAACGTTTCTATCTTCATGGAGACCAAACCAGACCAAGTTACAGGTCAGATCTGTGGAAAGGCGATCCCGCTCAAAGTCAGAATGTTGTTTTTCTAAGTATTTTTAGCTCTAAAACCGCCTGTAATTGAATAAATGTAACGTAGAGCTGTTTGATGTCACACTGTGGAACATTCCAGGCAGAGCAATGACATATCCGTAAAAACAAGAAGGTGACAGAACCCCCAACCAAGCAGATACACAGTGCACCTTCTAAATGATTTATTAAAGGTTGTATGGAGGATTTTTTTTTTTTTAGTTTCAAATTGTCAGTGAAAGTTTAAAACACAATTACAGAGATGCAGCAGCCTTGTAATTATGATGACCAAAAAAAAAAAAAAAGAGTGAAAATCTATCAACTGTGGACGTAGTGAGGCCAGATAAACATCAGCCAATAGATAACAAGGCTACCTCATTTTCTATTGGCTGTTAGGTTGTCAATCAAACTTCTTACGTTTTTAGTGTAACTGACTCGCCGGTGCGCGGGGATTACATGGTTTATGCAGCGCTTCTTAGAAGCTTTTTTAAACTGTCGCTTCCTCGCAGTTCGCACAAAGTTTGTTGAGATGGCGGACGAGAATCCACGACCAGTTCACCGCAAAACAAAGTCCGTTTTTGAGGTCGTTGAAAGAAGAAGAGAAGGGGAAAAGGAGCGAAAACAAACTGAGGTGACTCTTGGAGATCTCTTCTGGTGATGGTGCAAATGAAGCAGACAGAGGGTTTAAAAACTGATGCGTCGCTCGCTAAATTATTTCTAGACACGTCACTTCAACAGTAATTCTGAACGCACACGGGCTGTAAACAAGTGTGATTTCTAGATTAAGGAGGTGGGAGGAGATGTTTCTACTGAGGAGCTGTGGAGGAGGAAGGTGGTGTCACGCATGCACAACATTTGAAAAAGGACTGTCGCTGTATTTCTTTTCCCTTAAAAAATCCTCTATACAACCTTTAAAAGAAACAAGTCAGCTGATTTCGGTGTTAGAAAACCGCGGTGCCCGATGGAAGCTGACGTCGCCGTAAACGTCACCACAACAAAGAGCCGTGTAGCTGTCGGCACTTCCTATGGACAGCTGCACATCACACTACCGAGCTGTAGTTTGTTTTTTTTGTTTTTCATTTGTGACAAAATTACGACGACTCCTTATATGTGTATCATCGATTAAGAAAATAAAATTGAAAACTGCAAAATGGTGTCTTGAAAATAAGCAAATAAAGATGACTCAAATATAGACTTATCACTCCAAACACAACTTTAAAGTGATCTCAGTTTTTTAGGTGAACTTCATTGGAAATTTTAATGTTTTTTCTTTCTCTGCATTTAATCAGGGCTCAAAGAGGGAAAAAAAAAAAAAATCTAAGCCTGAACTTTTAGTAGCTTGGCCAGAACTTATATGGCGATTTTTATGGGCACTTTTAAATCACTTATACTCTCTATCATTATTATATTAATCCTAAAGACAGTTCACATGAGTACAAATATTATCCAATGGACTAGAGATTTATAATCATGGGGGGACATTTTTGGATAAATCAGGTCTTATTTCCTCTAATTTGGTGCATTTTAGATTTTAGACAATTTTTGAGCTGCCTGTCAGATCAAGGAAAACATCAACAAGTACAGAAATTTAGTTTAAGAACTCCACTGCCACATCATGAGTTCGTAGGCTGAATTCAGGTGAAGTTGGGGCATCAGTGAAATGATTAATCATTAAAGAGTCACACATCATTTGTGTAGCGCAAGTGGCCCAGTGTAAAAAAAACAAACAACAACTATAGTTTGGATTAATCTGAGAGCCTCACAGTTTCCTCACACTTCATAACAAGATCGTATATGGGGATAAAAATCTAACTGTAGGAGTTTCAGAATAATTTATACATCCTGTTGACTCTGCCGGATGTTGGGATCATATATTAACATTTAAAATTTGTTTGTCATTTGGGTAAAACCATATCTATTCCAGCTCAGAAACATGTGAACTGCTTTTAGAGCTGAACCAGTGTGTTCTAGAATCTTATTACTGTGGTTATCCAAATGAAAAATATGATTTTAAAAGGGATTTTATATGAACTACTAGGTTATTTAGAAGCCTTGTAGTCTACAATTGAAAAGAGTTTGGTCATATCAAGTCCTCTGGGTCAGGTCTGAGTAAGACCTATCAAACCTGTTTCATGGAGTTTTAGGGGTGTTTGTTTTGTAGGCTATAGTCTAAAAATAAATATTCACACATATATATATATTTCTTATTTGTTTTTCTCCAAAAGCCGGAAATCCAGCATGGGGGCAAAGAACTTTAAGCCCTGTTTAATTCAAACTTGAATCAATGTTTTGTGATCTTATTCTTTTAAAACATGTAAACTAACAGTGTAGATGCAGTGGGTCTTACCTAGAAAGGACATGTTCCTCTCCTTCAGCATGTCCCTCAGCAGAACTTCGTGCTCCTGGCCGATTGCACTGAAACGTGGGAGTCAAGGAAACATACGAAGTAGTAATGGTCCAGTTATAAAGAAAAGCAGATTCAGATATGCACACAATTTATCTGGAATAAACAGGCGTGACCAACAATAGAAAGACATGCATGTTAAGACATCATTCATTATTCTAACATGTTGAACTACCACTAGGGATGGGACAAGATCTTACAAAATGAGATTGCCTCAGGATTTTGCACACTTTTAATTATTACAAAATTATCAGTTATTATCATGATGTTGTTCCCTCACCAAACACATGCCCGGGAAGGTTTTAGATGTCATCCATGCTAAGTACTGTATTTTTCAAACTATAAATCACACTTTTTTTCTTGGTTTGGGTGGTTCTGCAACTCCAGTGCCACTTATATATTAACATTTTCACACTGACAGCTGCGAGAGGTTCTAGTCTTGTGTGTCAGTATCTGCTGCTCCTGTTCCTCCTGTACCACTGTCACTTCGCTCTACTGCACATGTCTCCTGCAGAAAGAGCCTCTGTCTGTATCATGTCAGTCGATCGCACCATTACTTCTGTAACAATGAAAATTTTTAATTTAAAACAAACTTATAAAGACGACTGAGAAGACAAAACACAAATGCCCCCAAAAACAAAATCATATTTTGAAAATTACAAGCTGCAAGTAGCAAAATATTCAGCCGCAAACAGTAAGAAAGCAGAAAGAAAGTTTGGAGTGAGCGAGAAACTTGTGACACTGGGAGGATGCACCATGAAACTTTCCTGGAGATCATTGGATGGATGGACAAAGCCTGGACTTCAGTGACACCGAAACCATCCTGTCGGGATTCAGAAAGGCCATAATAATTCTAACTGGAACTGATGCTGAGTCTAACGACAGCGACACAGATGAGGAAACGGTGCTCCATTTACCTCCGGAGGTCGTGGAGTTGCTCAGAAGTGACACCGAGGATGAAGAATTGAATGGATTTAGTGATTTGGAGTGAGATGGAGAGTTTGGTAAACTTGTTCTGTTCTGTTGTTTATGTTATAGTTATTTGAAGAACTGTTCATATGTGACGTTAACAGTCTGTTGTTCTCTGTTCTATTGTTTTTACTAGAACTTGACTTTCAAAGGGAAATGTCGGTTCCTGGTCTCTGATTTTATAAAGTAAATTTCCCCCAAAAAGTGTGACTTATAGTCCAGTTCGACTTATATGTTTCTTTTCTTCTTCATTAGGCATTTTTTGGCTGATGCAACTTATGCTTTGGAGCGACTTATAGTTTGAAAAATACGGTAAGTTCTGTGTTAGCAGTAATACCCCATAAAAGTGTAAAATACCCCCCTTTAATAACGCCTTTGGGTAATTTCTACTAGTGTTTAAATTGATTGGATTTGGCGTTACTTACCTTGAGAAAACAAGACAGTCATACAACCTACATTCTGAATTCAAGTCATTTAACGCAATAGTTTTTGTAGTGCAGAGGAAACTAAACATGAAGTCCATTAAATAAATTAGACCAATTGAGTAAATGCCAACTTGGGTAAATGCATGGAACGGTACAGAAGAAAAACGCTGTCGCAATACACTGTCATTTCGCATCATACCATTATGTTATGGCGTACGGCTAAAAAGGCTTGTAATTAATGTGTTGCTTAGTTGGCAGGAGCATGTAAGTAATGGGGAGGGTTTAATGAAGTCTGTGCCGGACTCGGAGGAGAGGGGGGTGAAGGGGAGGAGGACGGAGGGATGGGTGGGGTGGGTGGAGGAGTGGAGGGAGGGCAGGAGAGGACAGGCTTGACTGGGCCCGAACACAGAGCCCTCAGCCTCCGTACATCCAGATGAGAGCGGGACAATGGGGGTGTGCGGGGCTTAAATAAGGGTCGGCCTCCAGATCACAGGGCCTCACGTCACAGCTGCTGGAGCCGACGCAGGAGTCGCGTGGAACAGAGGAACGCGTTGAGGAGGATGGATGGAAAATGGGGATAAAAGGTCGTCTGCGATCACAGTAAAAACGGTGCTACATTCACAGCTGAACAAAGGTTTTCAGTGCGACTCCTGCAATTCCGATACCACGATGAGACCAAATAAAGGCTGGTTTATAGTCCTACGTCAAGCTCCTTTCAGCTCGGACCAGGACAAGACCGGGACCTCTGAGAGTCAAGACCGAGACAAGACCAAGACCACAGCCTATCGAGACCAAATCGAGACCATCTTTGTAATTTTCGACATTTATTTGTATTTTACAATTATTTAGGCACAAATATATCAGTGTTTTTATAAATCTATCTCCACTTAATTAAATGTGGAGTGTCAGACCTCGAGACTGAGATAAGACCAAGTCCAAGCGCCTTCAAGACCGAGACAAGATCAAGTCCAAACGTGGTCGAGTCTGAGATGACGAAGACCGGTCTCGAGTATGACACTAACCTGAATCATACGAGCTTCTGTGCAGCTCATCAGGGCCCAGGTGCGTCGTGGGAATCCAAACCATTTCATTTGAATTCATTATTTGTTTTTAATTTACCGTGACATTAAACAATCATATTAGGCTCATATGCAAACATTTCTGTGCCAAACTTTAGTTGTGTTCCAAGCTGTTTTAATAAGTTGTCCATATAGTCTTCTTGGTTCTACCAATCATAGCCCTTGTGTTCAGCGAAAGTTTGATGTGTAATCATTTTTTGGCTGAGGTGTCACAGCACGTGCGCGACACGGCAAACACTGCAAGCGTCTGATTGGCTTTCATGTGCATCAGGGAACTGTGCAGCACGTCCGTGTAGATTTTACGCAGAACTATGAGCCAGCCTAAACACTCTTAAGACAACTGAATGATATTTTCAACATTAAATAATAGTACATTCTATTATATTCCATGTGGTCTTATCTCTGTGTAATCCCTCAGTGGTCCGTGAAGGTTCCAGAGTGGTCCATGGAAGTATAATAGTCTATATGAACCATCTTGCACTCTGAGGAGCTCAGGGACCGGCCTCCTGCTGGTGCCCAGAGTCAGAACTAAACACGAGGAATCCTGGTCTGGTCCCAGTCTCAGTTCCTGTCTGTTCTAGGTCTGGTCCCGATCTCAGTCCTGATCACCTGACAGTCTATGCGGGCGCACCTCCGGGCCCATCCTGGTTCAGTCCAGTTTCAGTCCAGTTTCAGTCCAGTTTCAGTCCAGTTTTAGTCCAGTTTCAGTCAGTTTTAGTCCTGGTTCTGTCCTGGTTCAGCCCATATGCGGCGCAGAAGTCCGGCATCGCAGTTTACGTCACGGAAACAGGAAACAGTCGTTATCCTTTTTTCCATTATTCATTTAAACACAAAATCGAAAACTGAAAAAACAATAACGATTTGGTTTTTCAGCTTTCGATTTTGGAGACAAATAATGAAGAAAATAGTTGTTTTTTTCTTTTTTTTTCATTTTCTTATTTTTGGTTTTAATATAATTTGTGTGTTTGGGGAGAAGGGGTGGGGAGTTTTGTTGTAGGTATGTGTTGTAAGTTTTTGTGTTTTGTTTTTATGTTTATTATTGTATTTAGTTAAATGTTATATTCTACTGTCTTTAATAAAATAAAAAAATAAATAAAACAAAACATTGCATCTGCACCACTGTCTTCAAATGCACTTCCCCTCTTGTTTCCGTCACCTCCGTCGCTCCCTCGACCCCCCGACGGCCCGGTTCCCTCCGTGAAGCAGAACTTTTATGTCAGGTGCATCCAGACTCGTCTCTCGTCCCCCCCCCCCTTCGCTACGGCTCCTCGTCAATTTCCAGGCGTTACTTTTTTATGGCGGAAGGATACTGTTTGATGCAGTCTACCAGCGGCCCATAACAGCAGTCGTTTATTGTGCACTGGAAAAGAGAAAACGGGGGGGGGTTGGGGTATGATGGTGGGATGAAGGAGGGGGAGAGAGGGAGAGAGGGACACAGGAGACGTGGGTAGATTGGCAGGCATGACCATAGATTCATACGTCGGAGAGCTGAGGGGTGTGGGGGGTGTTGCCTACTGTCAAACAAAACACATCTCAAATCGCTGACTGGGCTCTCGGGAATTGTAAGGGAAATGTAAAATGTATAAAACGCGTTAAATGCTTGTGGGGAATATAAGGGAAAGGCTCTGTGCACCGAGGCGAACGGCGAGCTCACTGGCCACGTTTACATGAGGTTTTTTTTAATTCCGGATTAATTGTTCTGAGTTAAAGTAAATATTCTCCTTTGAGTTTACATGGAAAACACGTTAAATCGGCTTTATTTAATTCAGTTCAGTGTCTAGAGGTCGAGAAGGGTTCTGATTGGACAGAGACGCGAACGTATTTACGTCGACCGGAAGAAAACACACACGTCAGCTGAATCCGTTTATCAGTCGTATCTGAATTTGTTTTTCAATATAAAACCAAAAATAAGAAAATTATTATTATTATTCATTATTTATTACCAAAACCAAAATGAAAACAACATAATGATTTGTTTTTTCAGTTTTTTATTTTGTGTTTAAATGAAAAATGGAAAAAACGGATTACGTGACTTCCATGACTGCGATGCAGAAATTTTGCACTGCATACGGACTGAACGAGGACTGATTCCAGGTCCGGGACCAGACCGGAACCAGATCAGGACTGATACCGGAGCGGTACTGAGAACGGGACCAGACCGGGACCAGAGTGGGACTGAGACCGAGACCAGACAAGGACGAGGCTGGGACCAGACCGGGACCAGACCTGGACTGGGACCAGACCGAGACTGAGATCAGGACTGAGACCAGGCCGGGACCAGACCTGAGGCTCAGAGTCCACGGCAGGGCCAGAGCATGAAGCTGTGCCTCGGACCCCGCGGAGGCTCAGAGTCAAAGCTTGGAGTCCGCTCTGGTCCCGCTCTGGTCCTGCTCTGGTTCCGGTTTGGTTCCGGTCTGGTCCCGGACCTGGATCAGTCCTGGTTCAGTCCGTATGCAGCGCAAAAATTTTGGCATCGCAGTCACGGAAGTCACGTAAACGGGTTATCTGTTTTTTCCATTTTTCATTTAAACACAAAATCAAAAACTGAAAAAACAAATCGTTATCAGTTTTTTCATTTTGGTTTTGGAGACAAATAATGAAGAAAACAGTTTTGTTTTTTTTCGTTTTCTTATTTTTGGTTTTATACTGAAAAATGAATGAACGAATGATACACGGATTCAGCTGCTACCAGCTTTTTTGTCATCTCGGTTTGTCGTTACGCCACGGACACAAACACGATCCAAACTTTTTTCGCAGTTGTTCTGATGATAATTACGCAGCAGCTGGAGAATTCCCTCATCACGCTTTATGGCGGCTGAGGAGGAGAAGGGAAGAGAGTCGGAGAAGGGAGGAAGAAGACAAAGTGATAAACTGCTCTACCTCAGCCCACTCCCGCATCCCGCTCACAAATCCAAAGAGACGTGGATGAAAGTCCGAAGACAAGACTGGAGAAGCCGGATTGTCCGAATCACATCAGAAGGGCGACACAACGAACATGAACGACCGGAATTATTTTTAAGAAGAATAAATGCTGACATGATCAAGGAATAAATTAATTCGGGTTTAAAATCAGAATCAACCACCCACTTCCGATTATTCTGAATAATCATTTTCATTAAGTCTTTTTAAAGCGGAATATATTTTTATTCAGAATTAAATCATTTTTATTCGGAATTAAAGCTCTCATGTAAACGTGGCAACTGTTGGCGTCATTACTTCATGTTCACTGATAATTTTATGGGATATTTGCCGAGTCGCGTACTTAAAAATACATACACTGACCAAATCTTAAATATTTTACAAATGAGGTGAAAACTTGTGTGTTTAGAAAGATGGGTGTTTGTGTTTCAATGCAAGTGCATATTTTGGGCATTAAATATTTACATAACAAAACAAACTGAAGTAATCTACATAAAAAACAATCAGGTTGTCTCTACTTGTCTTTTTATTGGTTAGAAATATGTAAAATGTATAAAAAGTGTTTGAAGGGAATGTAAAAGAAAGGTTAGGCACACTGTGGACCGGCCAACATGCTGCTGTGCACAGAGCCAATTAAATATCGAGTATTTCTGGTGTAAAACTCCACATATATTTACACTGTTTTTAAAATGTACACTTAGTGAAGTGTAGCTGACAGGGCGTAAAAGCAATACTCAGTAATTGTTCATGTTTAAACACTTACTTGGTAAATATTCTTGGCCAAAGTCTGGTCTGGAATCAGAGTTGGCTCCTTCAGCATGCTGTTCAGGACGGATTTGGAAGCTGCAAAAAACAAAACAAAACCTGAATTAAATATAAAAAGGAAATGCAAATCGACATTTTTTTTTTTCTACCATGTTATAATCTCTCAACAAAAACATGCCTGAAGAGGTTTTAGATGTCATCCATGCATGTTTGAGCAATCTAGCGATCTCAGAAGGTCAGCGCACAAGACGACATAACCCATGTTCCTGCACGGCTTCGTAGTTTACCAAAGTTGTACTAAAACATTTTGACAGATTTTTGAGCACCGTGTACCACATAAAATCAGTTCGAGGTCAGTAAACACAACCAGAATTAATACTTAAGGAGCACTGAATTATACGGTGTACTGTTGATTTTTGAGAAAATGAAAGGATTTTAAGTGCTCCTTATAGTCTGAAAAATATGATACTACTTCTACTTACTTCTACTTACTGCTGCTAGAAATAATACTTTTACTACTACTACTACTCCTGCTACTACTACTACTACTACTACTGCTACTACTACTGCTACTACTACTAAATTGTAGTTACTAGTGCAAGAAATACTACTTCTACCTACTTACTACTGCAAGAATAATACTTTTGCTACTACAACAACTACAACAACTACTACTACTACTACAACTACAACAACTACTACTACTACTACAACTACAACAACAACTACTACTACTACAACTACTATTACTTACTTCTACTTACTACTGCAAGAAATAATACTTTTGGTTCTACTACTACTACTACTACTACTAATACTACTAAATTCTAGTTACTAGTGCAAGAAATACTACTGCTGTTACTACTACTCCTCCTCCTACTACTTCAACTACTACTCCTCCTACTCCTACTTCTACCTACTTACTACTGCAAGAAATAATACTTTTGCTACTACTATTACTACTACTATTACTACAACTGCTGCTACTACTACTACTACTCTTCCTACTACTGCTGCTACCACTACTTCAACTACTGCTCCTCCTACTCCTACTTCTACCTACTTACTACTGCAAGAAATAATACTTTTGCTGCTACTACTATTACTACTACTACTACTAACTACAACTACTACAACTACAACTACTACAACTCCTACAACTCCTACAACTCCTACAACTACTACAACTACTACAACTACTACAACTACTACAACTACTACTACTACTACTACTACTACAACTACTTTCTACTACTACTTTCTACTACTTTCTACTTACTACTGCAAGAAATAATACTTTTGCTGCTACTGCTGCTACTACTAAAGCTACTACAATTATTATTATTAATCCGGCATACAGAAGTGTAATACTGCGTCTTGAACCAGTCACTTCCCTCTACAATTATGTACCAAAGCAGATCATTGGAAAAACCTTTAGCGTACGATCTATGACTATGGACAAAAAGCGAATAAAATCCATGACGCAACCCAGTCCCCCCGGAACCCGCGCCATATTTCTACCCCTCACTGAACCTCGCGTCGTCTCTCCAGAATCTCTATACACTCATGTTTCAGTCCATTCCCTCCGTGTAGTTTATCTATGTTAGCAAAGTGTACCACTCCGCATCTCTCATCGCTGCGCGGCTCCGCTAACATTATAAATCACACAAATTGATTTCCATGTATGAACGCGGCGACTAAAATCCTTAAATCATCTGTTAAAAAGGTTGGGATTAAATGGATTGGATCATTGTGTGACGAAATGGCGGCGATGAGTAATTTTCGTGATATATACAAGCGCGTTTGTGACACACTGCGGCGGGATCTCGTACAACGGAATGTTTCTATTCATATTTCAAGCCCGGGCGAGTCCGTATGCTAACGCCGCGCGATTAGCTACGCGCGCCGTGATGCTAAACCTGAAAATGTCTAAATGTGTGAAATGTTTTGTCGTTTGTAGGTTTATTGTCAGCTGAATATATACGTTATGAATATTTGTACTTCTAGGCAAATATATGTAGTGATAAAAGAAGTAGTAGCAGTTGAAATAATACGGCAGTAAAATAAAATACGTGTAGCAATATTAGGAATCGTTGTAGAAGTAGTAGTAGTAGTAATAGAAGTAAAAGTACCATTTGTTGTACTAGTTTTAATAGTAAGTGTTAGAAGTAGTTGCAATATAAGTAACAGTAGAATAAGTAGTATTGGTGGTAGTAGTAGTAGTAGTAGTAGTAGTGGTAGTAGTAGTAGGAGTAATAGGAGTAGGAGTAGTCGTAGTAGTTGTAGGTATTAGTAAATTGTAGTAGTAATAGTAGAAGTATTTCAGTATTTCTTAAGTAGAAGTGAGTATTAGTAGTAGGAGGAGAGTAGTGGAAGTGGTAGTCTTAGTAGTATTAGTAGTAGTAGTAGCAAAAGTAGTATTTGTTGCAGTAGTAAGTAGAAATAAGTAGAAGTAAGTAGTAGTAGAGGTAGTAGCGGTAGTTGCAAAAGTAGTATTTCTTGCAGTAGTAGTAGTAGTAGTAGTAGTAGTAGTAGTAGTAACAGTAGTAGTAGTAGTAGTAGTAACAGTAGTAATAGTTAGTAGTAGTAACAGTAGTAATAGTAGTAGTAGTAACAGTAGTAATAGTAGTAGTAGTAGTACAGTAGTAATAGTAGTAGTAGTAACAGTAGTAATAGTAGTAGTAGTAACAGTAGTAACAGTAGTAGTATAGTAGTAGTAGTAGTAGTAGTAGTAGTAGCAGTAGTAGTAGTAGTAGTAACAGTAGTAGTAGTAGTAGTAACAGTAGTAGTAGTAGTAGTAGTAGTAGTAGTAGTAGTAGTAGTAGTAGTACAGTAGTAGTTACAGTAGTAGTAGTAGTTACAGTAGTTACAGTAGTAGTAGTAGTACAGTAGTAGTAGTAGTAACAGTAGTTACAGTAGTAGTAGTAATAGTAGTTACAGTAGTAACAGTAGTTACAGTAGTTAGTAGTTACAGTAGTAGTAGTAGTAGTAGTAGTAGTAGTAGTAGTAACAGTAGTAGTAGTAGTAGTAGTAGTAAGTAGTAGTACAGTAGTAGTAACAGTAGTAGTAGTAGTAGTAAGTAGTAGTAAGTAGTAGTAGTAGTAGTAGTACAGTAGTAGTAGTAGTAGTAGTAGTAGTAGTAGTAGTAGTAGTAGTAGTAGTAGTAGTAGTAGTAGTAGTAGTAGTAGTAGTAGTAGTAGTAGTAGTAGTAGTAGTAGGCAGTAAAATAAAATACGTGTTTGGGAATAATTCAAATTCCACAGTATCGACACTGTTGGGCAAGTTACTTTAAAACTGTAATGTGTTATTTATTTATGACTTGTTACTGTCATTTTAAAGAAATTTGTTACATTACAATATTACTGTGTTTATAATATAAAACATTACACGACTATTGCAGCACTTTAAGTTACTCTCACCAGAACTGATGCAGAACTTTTGCGCCGTATATTAGGGGTATGCAAAAATATCGGAATATCGATATATCGTATCGTTTAATGTAATGATACAGTATTGATATCATGGGCTACTGTATCGATGTATCACCAAGAGTATTTTTACATGTGTTTTACTAAATTATTTTGTTACAGCTACAGTTTTGTTGCTTGTGGAGTGAAAGGAAACTCATTTATGCGACACATTGGACATTTTGACACTGTTTTGAGGATTAAAATGTTTGTGTTTCATATGAACTTTGCACAAGAAGTGGTTTAACAAACACTTTTAGTATCACAGCCATGATTTAGCCTTTATTTTTTATTGAACTGTATCAAATCGATTTGAAATATATCATATTGACATGAAAGTGCACTGTATCGAGGTATGTATCGTATCGTGGCCTGTGTATCGAGGTATGTATCGTATCAGCAACTTCTTAATGATACCCAGCCCTACCGTATATGGACTGAACCGGGACTAAACCAGGTCTGAACCAGAAGTGAACCGAGGACTGAACCGAGGACTGAACCAGGACTAAACCAAGGACTGAACCGAGGACTGAACCAGGACTAAACCAGGACTAAACTTGGAATCTAAGACTGTCCCTGAGAGAATCCTGAGTCTGTGGAGCAGGGTGTCCACAAAGTGCAATCGGGCGTCGGCTGGGATTATCTTCGTGGAGCGTGGAGTTCTGTGTTGGTCCTTTCACCCGTGGTCACCCGACAGTCTACACGAGCACACCTCTGGGCCCGTCCCGACATTCAGAACCGTAACGATGGCGTTTCACCGCTGCTGATATCGCGGTGATTTTAGAAAATTTGTATGAAGAAAAACAAAAAACCCACCACTTCAATTCAGGTTTAAAAAACACTGTGACGTGCATTACTGACATTTGTACCGAGTAAAATATTTCAAAAAATGTTCCCTGTAATGCCACATTACTGCGTTACAACAAAAACCAATGAACTACAGTAATTCGTTACTTTTATAAGACGTTACTCCCAACACTGTTTACAATATTAGTAATAGTAGTAGTAGTAATAGTAGTCATAGTCGTAGTCGCAGTCGTATTAGTAGTAGTACCATTTGTTGTGTTAGTTTTAATATTAAGTAGTAGAGGTAGTTGCAATATTAGTAGTAGTAGTACTAGTAGTAGTATTTCTTCCAGTAGTAAGTAGAAAAAAGTAGTAAGTAGTAGTAGTAGTAGTAGTAGTAGCAAAAGTAGTATTTCTTAGTAGTACATAGAAGTAAGTAGTAGTATTCAGTAGTAGTAGTAGTAGTAGCAGCAGCAGCAGTACTAGTAGTAGTGGCAGTAGCAGTAGTAGCAGTAGTAGCAGTAGTAGTAGTAGCAGCAGCAAAAGTAGTATTTCTTCCAGTAGTAAGTAGAAGTAGTAGTAGTATTTCTTGCTACTGAAAATTACTAAATGCGCAAAATGTTTGGTCATTTATAAGTTTACAGTAAGTATGTTATGAATATTTGTACTTCTAGGCAAACATAGTAGTAGTAATAGTTGTAGTAGCAATATTATTAATAGTAGTAGTAGACAGGTGGTATTTGTTGTAGTAATTTTAGTAGTAAACAAAAGTAACAATATTAGTAATAGTAGTAGAAGTTGTTGAGGTTTTGCTGTAGTAGTAAG